TGCAGCCTGGCCCTCCCCGCTGGCTGGGGGTAAGCAGGGCTTGCCTACCTCCTGCAAGAGGGGGTTGGCAAGAGTAGGGAGCAGGGGTCACAGGCCCCTAGTGCTTCTTGTAAGAAATAAAACATCCATCTTCTGTAACCTTTTCTTCCCTTCTCATTTCCCTTGCTTCCTTCTTCGACTCATCTGTTTGCCAGAATTAATATCTACTGCAATATGCATATTTTTATAATCAACAAAAGTATAATTCCAGTGAAACAGTTACATTTCTATAATTATATTAAATGCCACAGATTTTGGCAAATAACCAAATAAAAAGTAATACAAACACAAAGTCTTGAATACGGTTTTGGCAACTAAGGAATTGAGCAAATACTAAAGGAGCTTCCGTTCACGTGCAGCAGTGGTGCCATTGACTTCAATGAAAGTACATAAGTCAAGTGGAACACTTTCATATAAGTGTTTGCAGGATCAAGTCCCTTAATGTACGATTTTCAGTTACAGTAGTACCTGAAGTCCAGGATAGTTGTCTGCCTTTTTCTGTACTGAGTGCATTATTTCTAAAGGGCATGTCTACGCTACAGCTAAGATTGAAGTAGCTGTAGTCAATCTTCCGGGGTTCGAATTAGTGGGTCTAGTGAAGACCTGAGAGGGCACTCCCATTGATGCCAGTAGTCCTTCTTCAAGGAGTAAGGGAAGTTGAAGGGAGAGTGTGCTTCTTTCAACTTCCTACAGTGTGGACACGTCAAAATTTGAGTTAAGATACTTCGACTTAAGCTATGTTGTTAACACATACAACTTCAGCTATCTTAATTCAAACTTCTCCCCTATTGTAGACAAGGGGAAAGTTTTTTTACATTTAAAAGGACAAGATTTATTTTCAGTACAAGCAGAGAACACAAGTTTAAAGTAGCGGTTACTCCTTGACTGTTTTGTGCTTCCTTCCTCCCCATTGGCTTCTTTTAAAAGATCCCTCTCCATATGCTTGCTTGCAGTGGCCTGCCCCTTCTTGGTAGTTCTAAGATTGCTTTTTGTTATAGTGCCAGTGTAACACTGGGTGGGCTAGTCTTCAATGCCCTTCTCCAGTGCCTTAAAAAACAAACAAACAAAAAACATAGAAAAGTAGCTGGAGACACAGAGTTCAGTCTCTAAAGCTAAGCCTAAAGCTATCCCGAAACAGCTATTCTGCATCTTAAGAGCAAGCCCAGTATATCAAAATATAATGGGCTCACTATTCTGATGCCCCTGTAAACCTCATTGCACAAGGGATAAGGGACGTTTTGAAATAAGCTATATTGAAATAAGTAAATTGCGTAGTGTAAATTGCATAGCTTATTTCAAGGGAAGGGTGCTGCGCAGATGCACCCTAAGGAATTACAGCAAGGATTGCTTAGTGTCAGCCTCTCCACATTCAAGTCCCAAAAAAACTAAAATTCATTTTAATTAAATAATTTTATAAAATTTTATGATGAAGTAATCTAATTTTTACAACAAAATATCTTTATAGTATGACCCACTGACATTATCTTCACAGTTATAACAAACATAAAGAGAAAGCCAAAAGTAAAATTTGAACAGTTCAGTTCACACAAAACACAGTAAGAAGAAACTGAGAGATCCCGAAAGCTTAGGTTTAGATTATCTAAGTCTCAGTTAGTGTCTCTTCACAATTTGCTGAATCTGAACCATAGTCTCTCCACTTGCTTGTAGGGATCCTCAGTTGAAATCCATGCTTTTCCTTAGCTATGGATTTCTCCTAACTGATTAACCAGGCAGTTAAGTCACAAGGGCTGTGTCCAGACTCAGGGTTTTTTTCGAAAAAAGTAGCCTTTTTTCGAAAATTAAATCAAAAGAACGCGGCTTTTCTTTCGACGGCGGTAAACCTAATTCCACGAGGAAGAATGCCTTTTTTCGAAAGTGCTCTTTCGAAAAAAGGCGTTCTTGAAAGCAAACAGGGCTTTTTAGAAAGAGAGCATCCAGACTCACTTGCTGCTTTCTTTCGAAAAAAAAACGGCTTGCTTTTTCGAAAGTTCCGCATGCAGTCTAGACGCTCTCTTTCGAAAGAGGCTTGCAGTCTAGACATAGCCAAGGATACAGACTTAAAGAAAGCCCCATTACAAGAAAATGCAAAACCTGACAATAACAAAATAGAATGACTCTTTCTCTGTTACTACATTTAAAGAAGAGCTGAAGGATCACACTAGCTGAGAAAGTTAACTAGAACAGTTTGGGTAAAATCAAAACATAATTCAAAGCATACAGCTAAAGCAGAAGAAGTTATTTTTCCTTCCAGGTTCCCCTGGCTATGATTAACATTGCTTATGTTTCCTGGTGGAGCGTTAATGTCATCACTACCCGCTGCAAAGTGCTGCAGGATGAGGGACAGATCACACTAGTCTACTTCTGAGCTCAGCTTCTCCCAGCTCACACAGGACATATGGCCCTTAGGCCTGGTCTACACTGGACCAGGAAGGTCAGCTTAAGGTATGCAATTCCAGCTACATAAAATACCGTAGCTGGAGTCGGCTTACCACTGTCCACACAGTGGGAGGCTGACGGGAGCAAATGCTTCCATCAGCTTCCCTTATTCCTTGCAACTGTGAGGAGTACAGATGTCACTGGGGGCTGCCCTCAGCGTTCAATTAAGTAGAGCTATACTAGACCTGCTAAATCGAACACCAGCAAATCGACCTACGGAGCATCAATCCACCAGTAAGTATAGACGTGCCCTTAGAAAAGCAGCTGCCCTGTCTCCTTTCCCTCATGGAGTCTGACCCCAGCAACAGAGACAGACCCAACTGGAGCAGACCACAAACTATCACACCTCATTCCAGAAGCATTTGAGTGCTAAATCAGCTTAGCAACAGTGACCCAGTCACAACTAACTGCTATTGCCCCCTCTTAAAGTAGCAACATTAGTACATGGGTTACACCAGCTGTGAAAGGACTTTTTGATAGCTTAACAACAGAGCACAAAGAGAATGAATGCCAGAGAACAGTGAGGGGAGCCTAACTTCTAAAAACCCCAGGTTATCAATAACACCTCAAGAGTCATAATTAATCTTCGGTTAACCAAGAGTTTAGATTATCTGCAATCTGATATAAAGGATTTTGTTTATGTACAATAGTGTGTGTTTGTGTGTATTAGAGGGAGAAAAAGAGAGAGTGCCCTCTAGGGATATTGCAAAGGATTTATCTGTTTTTTGGGAAGGTTAATTTTCACAGCTAAACACGTTTTGTTCTCTTTGAAAGCTTTGGTATTCCTGACATCTTCTGTTACCAAAAATGCAGCCTACCCTTTAGACAGTTGTGAGGAGATTATCTGAATTCAACTAATAAATGTATTTTTATGCCTAGAGTTAATTATTACAGCTGGAGGTGAAAATGTGCCTCCCATCCCAATAGAAGATGCTGTCAAAAAGGAACTGCCCATTGTTAGTAATGCTATGTTGATTGGAGATCAAAAGAAGTTCTTATCAATGTTGCTGACCTTAAAGGTAAAACTACTTTTACTGTTGATTTTGATAAAAATCACACCCCACTAAACTCCTGAGATCTGAAATCTTCTGTATACTTTATTAATTTAATGAAGCCTGAAGTCTAGGGGTGAAAATATTTGAAATTTCCTGCATAGTTTTTCTGTTTTAGAAAAGAGCAAAAGTGGGTATGTGTGTGTAGTTCCTAACTGGGAACTACACACACACATACATTGGGGAAAATGTTCAAATTACAGTCCCCTGGTTTTATTCACACAAGTAAATTTGAGGTCAGATTTTTCATAAGTAAAGCAAGCAATATTTAGCCTATATACTTTATAACAGAAGAAATATTTTACATCCATTTCTAATATTCTTCCACGCATAAAACAAGACTTAATTTCAGTATAAAGTTCAAATTAACTTTCATTAAGAAAAACCCAAAAGAGCAGAAGTGAAGTCTTCATGAAAAAGTACAGCATTTGTCTTTTGTATACAGGACTTTGAAGTACTTTGAAGTAGGAATAAGAGATCCTCCGGAAAAGGGCTTTTTTTCGGAGGATTGGGGCCAGTGTAGACGCTCTTTTCCGGCTTTTCTAAAAGCCGGAAAAAAGCGGCAGACATTTTTATTTAAATGCCGCGGGGGATATTTAAATTTCCCCCACTGATTTCCCTATTACGACCTGTGAAATTAGCATGCCCCTTTCGGAAAAGGGGCCAGTATAGACGTAGCCGACTAGTTGTCATGCTGGACAGGCAGAGTCCTTAGAAGTTGAGAGTCTCAATAATAATAAAAAAAGGCAACACAGATTTATACCTACTTACACAAGAGGCTTTGAGCCATGTGTGCTCATTAGGATTTGTGCTTCAGAGAATGTTTGCTTTCTATCAGACCCAGTTCTTCACTCATGTGTTTCAAGGAAGAAATCAGGGAATGAATTTCAAGAAAGATGTGGAGAAATTGGAAAGGGTACAGAGAAGAGCGACAAGAATGATTAAAGGTTTAGAGAACATGACCTATGAAGCCAGGCTTCATGAACTGGGCTTGTTTAGTTTGGAAAAAAGAAGATTAAGGGGGGACATGATAGCGGTTTTCAAATATCTAAAAGGGTGTCACAAGGAGGAAGGAGAAAAGTTGTTCCTCTTGGTTTCTGAGGACAGAACAAGGAGTAATGGGCTTAAAGTGCAGCAGGGGAGGTTTAGATTGGACATTAGGAAAAAATTCCTAACTGTCAGGGTGGTCAAATATTGGAATAAATTGCCAAGGGAGGTGGTGGAATCTCCCTCTCTGGAGATATTTAAGAACAGGTTAGATAGACATCTGTCAGGGATGGTGTAGACGGAGCTTGATCCTGCCTTGAGGGCGGGGGGCTGGACTCGATGACCTCTCGAGGTCCCTTCCAGTCCTATTATTCTATGATTCTATGAATTTAGGAACAAGAATAGCTGACCTACTGGATCAAGCCCAAATGAAAGCTTGTCCTTTGTTACAGTGCAAATATTATAGGAACAGAATTAAAACAAGGGCCCAGTATATTATCATAGTATGCTATAGTCTTAGTTATCCCAGTGTTACTCACATTTATTACCTTGGCCAGTGATTCCTCCTCACCTACAAGTGTAAGAAAAATCCTTTTTCTAATTTTAAACAGCAGCTCTGTCTCAAGACATGTATGGAATTACATAAATTTTGGTAAACCATTTTTATAAACAACAACTTGAATACATTTCTTGAAATAATGGAATTGATTTGGAAGAACAGGGTACGTCTACAATGTGCTAAAAAAGCCCACATCACTCAGTCTCAGAGCCTAGACCAGCAGCTAACTTGAGCTCCCTGGTCTTGGGCCGTGTAGTCATTTTAGGATTTACTGGTGTGGCGTCCTGACAGGTCTCCTGATCCGTCAGTGATAATAAACATTCAGTTGTGTGCGTTTTTGTATGCTCCCTTAATATATCATGCCAACTCTGCAGGTAGACTGCACAAGACTCCCCAAAGACCATTGGACTGAAGTACACAGACAAAGTACATTAATAGTTTTGGTAGCCAGATGTACCGGGGCAATGAACATGGCTCAGTCAATAGTATGAATTTCACTATTGCCCCCAGACTAAAGAATTAATTAGAGATATCCCAATATTTATAGACAGAAATAAACAATGTATAACACACATCTCAGTCAATAGTATGAATTTCACTATTACCCCCTAGACTAAAGAATTAATTAGAGGTATCCCAATATTTATAGATAGAAATAAACAATGTATAACACACACGGTACGTATCATCTTATGCATGAATTACATGTTTGGTATCTCCCCTTGTGCTTTCCTCCAAAGGATTCACTACTCATTATGCTTTCATTCTTGTTGTTTCAAACTATTTTATCATGTACTTAGCTGGCTGTCCTTGCACTATCCTAGTTCTATCCATGCTAACTGTTCTGATAGTAAAAGACACTGACTTGCAGGCAAACATCTGCTTTTGACCCAACCTGTCTGTTACTCATAGTATAACTCTAATTTACTTTGGTTCAAGCACCAGGCCCATGCTTCAAGCTCCTTTTTTCTCCCACAGGCTGCAGGGCTAAAAATAGCAATGTAGAGGTTCAGGATTGAGCACAATCCTAGGCTCTGTAATTCCCCCTCCCTTGCAGGGGGAGAGTGGACTCTAACCCAAGCCCAAATGTCTACACTGAAATTTCATAGACCTACAGTCTGAGCCCTGCAAGCCCAAGTCAGCTGATCCAGGCCAGCTGTGTGTGTTTTAATGCAGTCTAGACATGCCTGCGATGGTAATTTAATCAAAGTATATACAGAGCTTTTTCTATATTAAATATTTTGATGTTTCAAATGTGATCACATCATATACATATTAGCCCGCCTGTTCACATTATATGGCCAAATTGACAAAGTATCTTATCTTGGAATAATCTACAAATGGTGCCATTTTGTAGATTTAGGATTGTAGTTTTGACTGTTTCACTTAAATGTTGATACTCTTCAGAAGCTCTCAATTCTTACTGTTTTAAGTGGGAATTGAGGCCACTTAGGGTATGTCTGCATACTCAAAATAAGCTACACAATTTGAGCTATGCTAATTGCGTAGATTAAATCAAAATAGCTTATTTTGAAATAGAGCACCCTTTCTCCAATTTTCCTTACTTTTTCTAAAATGGGGGTTACAGGAGTCAGAGTAAGTCCTCTGGCTGGACATTATTTTGACATTGTCGAAATAACTGTTTGTGCGTAGACACACATTTTGTTATTCCGAAATAATGGTACTGTGTAGATGTACCCTTGGTGCCCTATAGGAGCTGGCCATTAATACTGAAACTCCATCACTTGATACTGTAGAGTACCCTGGATCCAGATACATCTGATCCTACTGACAATCTGACTGAGCAAGCCAGAGAATTCTGCCAGAAAATTGGAAGCAAAGCCACTAAGGTTTCAGAGATTGTGGCAACAAGAGATAAGGCTGTTTACCAGGCCATTCAAGAAGGAATCAATAGAGTCAACATGAAGTCAACTGCCAGTGTTCAGCATATTCAGAAATGGACAGTCCTGGAAAAGGATTTCTCCATTGCTGGTGGAGAATTTGGTAAGATCTCTATTTTAAGATACTCACATATCTTCTGTACTAAGTACTGTAAGTTTGGGATGACTCTCTCAGGAATGGTGGAATTGAAAGTTGTACAGCTCTTCCCAAACAAATGGTAATTAACTGATAGCAATGGACAATATCTGATTACAGAGCAATTATATTGTTATGCTCTTAGGGAAGCCAACCACTGCAGGATAAAATTAGTTCATGTTACAGTTTGAAATTTAAACCAAGATTTGTGAAATGTGGGATCTTTATAGAAACGTTTATTTAGCTTACTAGAAAGTTATCCTTGGTCAAGTTTTTGTTTGAAATTCAAGTCAAGAAGTCCTACGATTTTGGTGCCAAAGAATCAAAATACAACCCCAAATTATACAACCTATTTAATAATGATTAATTGCATCTACAACTTTTTCTCTTTTCAGAAGAAAGTCAAATGTAGTCAGTATAATCTGGGAAAACAAATTCTTACCATAAGCCAGCATAAAAAGTAATCAGAAAATTAAGACCATTGTGCAGCTAATGCTTGTCTTTTGTGGCGAGGGAAATAATTAAATAATTATTAAAGATCTGTTGATGAAAGATGTTCTAATTTTTTGCTTCACCAACTTTAACTTAACTGATGTGATATACAGGCAGTCCCCGACTTACGCGGATCAGACTTACGTCGGATCCGCACTTACGAACGGGGCTTTCTCGCCCCGGAGGTCGAGGTGGCGGATTGCTACCTGCGAGCTCCGAGGCGAGAAAGCCCCGTTCGTAAGCTGCTCCAGTGCCCCTGGTCTGCTGGAGACGGTCTCCAGCAGACCAGGGGCACCGGGCAGGTTCCCGCGCTTCTGAGGCTTTGCCAGAGCTGGTGCCTGTGGTCTGCTGTGGTCTGCAAGCGAATTTGAACTGTGCTGGTGGATAGAAAGTTTGAGGCCTGAATTCCTTCATTCATAGCATTATTTCAGAACAGCAAAATTCCTTATTCTAGTCTGTGGCAGGCATGCATCCAGGGGTGGCTCATGGATGTAGGCAACTTCGGCACTTGCCTAGGGCACCGCGTTAAACACAGCACCCAATGATGACATCACACCATTGAGGGCAATGAAGGCAGGGACGTCGATCGTGCATTCCACCTAAGGCGCCAGTTGCCGGCAGCTCTTCTTGAGCCACTTCTGCATGCATCCTTTGTGTGTAAAATTGGATAACAGCAGTATCCATTATAGCTGCATCTGCATCCTTCTGCCTAGCATAGCTGAGGGCATACTGTTTCTTCACTTTATCCATTGTGAATCAGCTAGCCTCTGTGAGTGGAGTAAGCTTATATCTCTCAACCCTCATTTGAGCCCTGGGTACATTAATGTTGAGTTATCACATTTTTTGCACCTTTCAGTATTACCATAATTTTGTCTTTAGTGCATATTACATTTGATTAATGGGAAAGGGCTAGACATAAAAATAAACAGAACACAACCTCACCCAAAGCAAGATGAAATTTTGGAGAGGGCCAACTGAGTATGTTACCCAGGATGATTTGAACCGAGGTCTATGGTAATTAATATCCTGTATTCCAGGTGGTGTCAAGAAACAAATTATCTCACTAATAAATGACAGGCATACACAAGCACGCTTCCATCCAAAAATCCTTATTTGTACTGAATACGAAGTACACATCTAAAATAGCAATAATCTAGAGCACACCCAGAATATAATTATCAAAAGTTTAAAATGATATCCAGTGATAGTAGCAGGTTTCCGATGGCTGGCCTTTCTCCTCAGCATTGGAGAGATAGTTGACATACTGCAAGTGTATAGAAATCCTTCCAGAAGAACTCCAAAATACACACACTAACTAAACTCTTTGGCTATGTCTAGACTGGCCCCTATTCCAAAATAGCCATGCTAATTTCCAACTTTGGAATAGGGAAATCCGCGGGGGATTTAAATATCCCCCGCGGGATTTAAATAAACATGTCCGCCGCTTTTTTTCCGGCTTGGGGAAAAGCCGGAAAAAAGCATCTAGACTGGCGCGATCCTCCGGAATAAAGCCCTTTTCCGGAGGATCTCTTATTCCTACCTGAAAGTAGAGTTCTCTTATTCCTACCTGAAAGTAGGAATAAGAGATCCTCCGGAAAAGGGCTTTATTCCGGAGGATCGCGCCAGTCTAGACGCTTTTTTCCGGCTTTTCCCCAAGCCAGAAAAAAAGCGGCGGACATGTTTATTTAAATCCCGCGGGGGATATTTAAATCCCCCGCGGATTTCCCTATTCCAAAGTTGGAAATTAGCATGGCTATTTCGGAATAGGGGCCAGTCTAGACGTAGTCTTTTAGTGCTGAATCGGCTCCCCACTTATGTAAATGAAGCCTGGGAAATTCAAATCCCGGGCTTCATTTGCAAGTGCGGTATGCCTACATTACCTTCCTAGTTCGAACTCGTAGGGTAGTGTAGACATACCCTGAGGGAAGTGAGGTGTGGGAGAATAAAACTGAGCTCTGGAGAAATGTTTGGCTAGAGTTTCCCCTACAATATGTACCAGTTCCGACTTACATACAAATTCAACTTAAGAACAAACCTACAGTCCCTATCTTGTACGTAACCCGGGGACTGCCTGTAATTCAAAACAAAGCATAACTCACAATAACCTCTGATAGGCTGATTATTTCCCTAACAACAGAAACTAATTCTCAATTTCTTCTTTTCAGTAAAGCAACTTTACTAAAGAAACAGGCTAAGGTCCAGACTAAGGTCAGCTGTACTTTAGTAACACTACAGCTGTGCAGATATTTTTATGTGCCTTAGCAAGGCCAAATTCTCTCACTATGTGATGTCTTTGCCTCTAGTCAATCATGACTGAGTGCACAAGATGGGTGCAGGTTACGTCAAGTCCAGGGCTCTCGTCACAACATTGGTAAGGGTAGGATAAAGCTAGAACCACTACATCAGCACAACTGTATCTGTAGCATGTTGGTGAAAATGGTCTGTGTGGATGGGACAGCACTCCCCATTGGCATAACTATCTGTCTTCATGAGAGGCAGAAGCTGTCAGCAGAACAGTATCTTCTGCCAAAATAGTGCTGGTGTGAACAGTAAGTCACAGTAAATAGCTTATTTTGAAATAGCATGCCTCTAAACCTAAAGCTCATTGAAATAAGCTTAGCTATTTTGAAATAGAGTGCCCACACTGATTGAACGCTACAAACAACAAATGGTCTGGTAGCACTTTACAGAAGTGCTACCAGACCATTTGTTGTTTTTCTGTAACAGACTAACTCGGCTACCCCCTGAAGCTCCTGAGAAAGTTCAGTTTGTGCTCGTCTCAGGCTTTTTTCCATTGCTTACCTCCTCAAGGGACAGCAAAGCCTTTTCTTTCGCATGCTGTTATTGCCCTTGGGGACACTCCAGCTATGAAGCCAGAGCTACCTCTGGGCAATTGACAGCTATTGCCTCGCATGCTGTTATTGCCCTTGGGGACACTCCAGCTGTGAAGCCAGAGCTACCTCTGGGCAATTGACAGCTTCTTTAGCTCTCTGTGAGCGGCTCATGCTGCTGGATCCCATCCGCCCTCCTCTGCACACTGCAGCTTCTGGGGTCTGGTGGGACCAGCTCGTCATGGATCAGTGGGGCGACCAGCAGAGGCTCCAGAATTTCTGCCTGAGGAAGGAGACCTTTCTGAAGCTCTATGAGTGGCTTGCCCCTGCCCTCATGCAACAGGACACACATATAAGACCCATCATCCCCCTCAAGAACTGGGTCACCATCACCCTGTGGAAACTCGCCTGGCCAGACAGCTACTGATCCGTCAGGAACCAGTTTGGCGTGGGGAGATCGATTGTTAGGGCCTTGCTCATGCAGGTATGGCATTCTCGGGCTAAAGGCCAGGAGGGGATTGGACTACTGGAATGGTGCTTTCTAGGGAAAGGGGGATAAGGGGTAGTGGTGGTGGTGGTTCAAGCCCCCTCTCCAGGAGGTTTTTCGGTCCCACCCTCAAAAGCCCTGCTGGGGGATGGGGTTAGTGTGGGGGATTACTCCTAGTGTAGGGGAAAGGGAAATGGGGAGACTTTAGCTCTGGGACCTCCCAAATGCTCTGGCTACCCTGTGATTTTCTGTCTCCTTCTACAGGTGGTGAAGGCCATTAACACCACCTTGCTGCATAAGGTCATCCACTTCAGCGACATGGATGCCATCGTTGCTAGCTTCACCAACATAGGTTTCCTCAACTGCGGGGAAAGGAAATTGGTGGCACCCATATCCCCACACAGGCCCCTGATGATCAGGCATCTCTCCAACTGGCAGGGGTACTTCTTGATGGTCCTGCAGGCTATCACCAACATCTACATCAGCTGGTTGGGGAAGGCACATGATGCCTGCGTTTCTAGTTGTAATTCTCCCTGCAAAGTAATACAATTTCTTGCTACAAAGAAGTATACACAATGACCTGTAGTTGTATTTTACTTTTGTTCTTAAATGAATTAAACTTAATGACATACTAATGTGGGTATAACTGGTTATTGTAAGGATGTAGCTTACATTCTTAGGCTACCTGACCGCATCATCAGGGTCAGGGACTTGGACATGCCCATGTACATGGTGGGCCTACTCTCTCTTGCCCTGCCTCATGAAGCCATATACCAGCCACCTTGACCACTCTAGGGAACAGTTCCACGTCAGGCTCAGCATGACCTTTGAGGATGCCTTTGGGCATTTGAAGATGCGGTTCAGATGCGTCCTCACAACATCCCCCAGGTGGTGGCAGCCTGTTGTGTCCTTCACAATATTTGTGAAAGCAAAGGGGGATACGTTCCTGCCAGGGTGGAGGCAGAGGCTGACCCTATTGGCAGGGCCTTTGAACAGCCGCATACGGCTGCTGTCCGGCAAGCTCATCAGGTGGCTGTGTGTATCTGTGAGGCTCTGAGGGACAGTTTTACACAAGGACCCCAGTGACACTCTCCTCTGCGCCTCCCACTCCCTGCCTTTCCTCCAACACCCTTACTTTTTCCCCTCCCCTACAGACACAATAAAACAGATTTTAAAAAAACCTGTTTTTATTTGGGGTCTAAGGAACTGGGGAGGGACTGGGGAAAGAACCAGCAGAAGAGTGGGTAGGGAGAAGGAGGGGGGAGGGAGATGAGGCTTAGGGATGAGGCTAGGAGTGGCACCTGGCTCTAAGTAACCCACTGCCACAGGTGCAGGTGTAGGGGAGGGTTGGGGAAGGAGCAGGGGCAGGCATAGGCATCATGCTGGCGACCAGGGAGTGCGCAGCTGCACACATGGTGCAGCCAAGAACCAGCATCTCCTGCCAGATGTCTCACCACAACTGGATATCTTCCTGCGATCTACGATCTGTTCCATGGACTGGAGCGCTCTGAGTTGCTCCCTCGGGAATTCATCCACCGGTCTCTGGAACCTGTGGGTCCCTCAGGTTAGGGAAGCTGCCCTGGGGGATGTTAACCACCCCTTCTTGCAGCTGGTCCAGCTGTGGAAATAAAGAGCAACGGTTAGTCATCCCAGGGGACACTGTACCTGAAACCTTGCCCTTATCTGAGCCAAGAGTCACAGTTCTCTGCTCAGACGAAGGCAACGTGCTTGGAGCAAGGCCATGTGTGCTCTAGCCAATGGGCCTTTGCCTGCAAGGGCCCAGATGTCCCCAGGGTGGGGAGCCTCACTACCCCCCATCCTGGACTTTCGCTACACATGCACAGGCTGCTGTGTGATCCCCAGGCTGCAAAGGCTGAGCAAGGAGTATGCCCCAGCCCCTCACCTCCTGCCCCCTCCACCAGGAATTCCTGATGTGAATTCCCCAGCCTCAGATGAAGCCTGGGACACATCCAGAGCATGGAGTACTGGCTCCAGGATCAGAAGGGTAACAGCACTGGCCTTGTCTGGCTTCTCCACTTTTTCCTCTGGTCCCCTGGAGGATGACAGGCGTATCAAGCCCTGAGTCCACTACCGGGAGCGGGGAAGAGAGGGGGAGACTGCCATGCCCGCCCCTTTCCCCCCCACCCCCGGATACGATCTAGCTCCTCGTAATAGGGGCAGACGTAGGGTTCGGCTCAGAGTGGGAGCTGTCTTCTCAGGTCCTGGTATATGCCCGGCAGAGCTCCTTCACTTTCATCCACACCTGCTCCCGGGTGCAGATGTGCCCTTTGTTGACCAGGCTCTCGGTCATTCAGCCATAGACATCTGCGTTCCTGTGTCTGGTGCAGAGATCCTGCAGGTTTCCTCCTCACCTCAGACCTCAATGAGGTCCAGGATCTCTGCACCAGATCAGGCAGGCACGCACCTTTCGGCCCTAGGTAGGCTCCTGGGAGTGGTCTGACTGCTCCCTGGGTGGGAGCTGCAGACTGGCTCATTTTGCCAAAGCTGTTTGCCTGTTTTCCACAAGCCTTTTCCCTTGAGGCTGCAGTTTTAAAGGCTCCATGGGGGGGAAGAGGGACTATAGAGGTTGTAGACAGGGCAGCCAGCAGTGCACCTTGGGAAGGCCTGGAGGGCCCTTATTTCAAAATAACTGCAGCTGCCCTGTCTACACAGCCCCTATTTCAAAATAGCTATTTTGGAAAAGATGTTATTTCTCCCAACACCAAAATAAGCCACCGGTTACTTCAAAATAATTTTAAAACACAATTACTGTGGGCTACTTGATTATAGTTCAAATTATTCAAGTGGCACTGTTTATAATGAAACTCCTACATCCTCATATTATCAACATGTATTATGTGGCTTTATTTTTGTTAAAAGAATTACTAAAATTGAAATTGACAGCCTATTATCAACTTTAGTTAAGAAACCAACTGAAGTTGAAAAAGAAGCATAGCTTGTTGTCCTCTTCCAGGCGGACTAAAAACTAGGTGTAAAAGGATACAGTCTACTAGTACTAAAATTTTGTTGTACATATTTACTAATTAGAGACTCTGACACTGTCAAATAATTTCATTTTAAATATAAGAAAAAGTTTGTACCCAGCACAAAGTAGTTTAATAAATTAACACTGTGCATTTGAATGTTCATCTAATAAATACCGACACAAATTGCAAGTAAAAATGTATGAATCTGAATAAACTATGTAATTGCTTAAGCATATAGCTAGTGTATCCTCATGCTTATCAAAAAGAAGCAAGAGGTTAAAGGTTCTATTTAATTGCAAATCAATATTTTAATGGTTACCAACAAGAATCACATTTCTTTAGAAAAATAATTTAAATGCTAAAGCAAAGTTATTAAAATCACTGATTGAAATCAATCCATCTACTCTAATAATAAGTCAGAAAACTAACCAGGACACCAGGCATTTTGAAGTTTTCATCTTTTTGCAGCACTTTGCAAAATGCCTACCCTAGAATCATAGAGCTGGAAGAAACCTCAGGAGATCATCAAGTCCAGCCCCCTGCCCAAGGCAGGACCACTCCCAACTAAATCAACCCAGCCAGCGCTTTGTCAAGCCGAGACTTAAATACCTCTAGGGATGGAGATCCCATCTCCATCCAGTGCTTTACCAGCCTCCTAGTGAAATAGTTTTCCCTAATATCCAACTTAGACCTCCCTCACTGTAACTTGAGACCATTGCTCCTTGTTCTGCCATTTGTCACTACTGTGAACAGGCTTTCTCCATCCTCTTTGGAACCTCCTTGCAGGAAGCTGAAGGCTGCTATGAAATCCCCTTTCACTCTTCTCTTCTGCACACTAAACAACACCAAATCCCTCAGTCTCTCCTCATACGTCATGCGCTCCCACCTCCTAATCATTTTGGTTGCTTTCCACTGGACCTTCTCCAATGCGTCCACATCCTTTCTATAGTGGGGGGCCCAGAACAGGACACAATACTCCAGATGTGGTCTCACCAGAGCCAAATAAAGGGGAATCATCACTTCTCTGGATCTGCTGGCAATGCTCCTCCTAATGCACCCTAATATGCCATTAGCCTTCTTGGCTACAAGGGCACACTGTTGACTCATATCCAGCTTCTCATCCACTGTAACCCCCAGGTCCTTTTCTGCAGAACTGCTACTTAGCCAGTCGGTCCCCAGCCTGTAACAATACTTGGGATTCTTCCATCCCAAGTACAGGACTCTACATTTGTCCTTGTTGAACCTCACCACATCTCTTTTGGCCCAATCCTCTAATCTGTCCAGGTCACTCTGGACCCTATCCCTGCCCTCCAGCATATCTAACTCTCCCCCTAGCTTAGTGTCATCTGTAAACTTGCTGAGGGTGCAATCCATCCCCTCATCCAGGTCATTAATAAAGATGTTGAACAAAACTGGTCCCAGAACAGATCCTTGGGGCACTCCGCTAGAAACCAACTGCCAACCTGACATGGAGCCACTGATCACTACCCATTGGGCAGGACAGTCTATCCAGCTTTCTATTCATCTTACAGTCCATTTATCCATATTTCCTTAACTTGCTGGCAAGAATATTGTGGGAGACTATCAAAAACTTTACTAAAGTCAAAGTATATCACATCTATTGACTTTCCCATATTCACAGAGTCAATCACCTCATCATAGAAGCTAATAAAATTGGTCAGGCATGACTTCCCCTTCGTGAATCCATGTTGACTATTCCTGATCACTTTCCCCTCTTCCTAGTGCTTCAAAATGGATTCTTAAGGATCCCCTCCATGATTTTTCCAGGGAATGAGGTAAGGCTGACTGGTCTGTAGTTCCCTGGATGTCCTTCTTCCCTATTTTTTAAAAGACGAGCACTACTTTTCCCTTTTTCCAATTATCCGGGATCTCTCCGGATCTCCATGAGTTTTCAAAGATAATGGCCAAAGGCTCCGCAATGACATTTGCCCACTCCCTCAGTACCCTCGGATGCATTAAATACGGGCCCATGGATTTGTGTATGTTTAGCTTTTCTAAATAGTTCCTTATTCTTTACCTACCCAGAGCTGTCCACCTCCTTCCCATACTGCGTTGCCTAATGCATTTCTCTGGGAGCTGACCTTGTCCATGAAGACAGAGGCAAAGAAAGCATTGAGTACTTTAGCTTTCCCCACATCATCCGTCACTAGGTTACCTCCCTCATCCAGTAAGGGCCCCACAGCCTCTCTGATCACCGTCTTATTGCTAACACGCCTGTAGAAACCTTTGTTACCCTTCACATCCCTTGCTAGCTGCAATTCCAATTGCCCTTTCACCTTCCTGACAACTCCCCTGCATTCTTGAGCAATATATTTAAATTCCTCCCTAATCATCTGTCCAAGTCTCCAATTCTTGTAAGCTTCCTTTTTGTGTTTAAGCTCACCAAGGACGTCCCCGGTAAGCCAATCTGGTCGCCTACCATATTTGCTTTTCTACCTGCACACCGGGATGGTTTCTTCCTGTGCCTTTAATAAGGCTTCTTTAAAATACTGCCAGCTCTGCTGGACCCCTTCATAGACTTTAAGGTCAGAAGGGACCATTATGATCATCTAGTCTGACCCCCTGCAAAATGCAGGCCACAGAATCTCATGTTACCATCCCAAGGAACTCTGCTCATCAGTTCTCTGAGGGAGTCAAAGTCTGCTTTTCTGAAGTCCAGGGTTTGTATTTTGCTATTCTCCTTTCTTGCTTTGGTCAGGATCCTGACATCTACCATCTCATGATCACTGCTTCCCAGGTGGTCACCCACCTCTACTTCCCCTATTAGTTCCTTCCTGTTTGTAAGAAGCAGGTCAAGCTGCGTGTGGCCCCTGGTCGGATCCTTCAGCACTTGTACCAAGTTATCATCCCCAACATTCTCCAAAAACTTCCTGAGTATCTGTGTTTGCTTACTAAGTCCCAACAACAGCATTTCTTTTAAAAATATACTTTAAGAATTTGAAATTTCACTCACACATTAGATCTTTACAATGCTCTGTAGGATAGCTCCTCTTCTCCACTAAACTGCTTATTAAATGGAATATGGCAACAAGCAAAAATTCTACAAAAATTTGTCCTTTACTGAAAGTCATGTCAACTGTTACATTCTCTATCGGAGTGAGCAATAATTTTTTGCTGGGGACTACTTCAAAAATTTCTGAGGTGGCCCTGGGCCACACCAGAAGGGGCAGGGCTGGGATAATTCTGGATTCCCCACCCCCAGACTATGATTGGTCTGGGGGTGGGGCAGCATCTTTGCCTGTCCCTCCACCCCCCATTCCCCATAGATGCCCATGTCCCTGGCTAGGAGGAGATTTCCCACGCTCTCCTGCCCCCAGGCAATCAGGGGGAGCGCGTGAAGCCTCCTGCCACCCTGCCAGGAGCGTGGGGATGGAGCGGAGGAAACTTTATGAGCTTCCCCCGCTCCTAGGCCCTTTTGCCCACCCCTGTTCTATATGCATATGTTATTGCAAATATCAGTTATCTACTCTCGTTATCCCAACATTCAGTCAGCAGTGTAGGCTTACAAAAAATACAACAAATGGTATGACTTTGGGAAGTCTTTATTTTCTCACTTTGTGCGTAATAGTAACTCAGTTGCTTACTTAGCGGAATACAAAAGAATCAAGGGAGCAGCAACCACACTATGCACATTCATATCAACCTCTGCTCCCAAGTCTGTCCCATCATATTCCAAGTTATCATTCAAAAGCAGTTATGAATGCACAAGAAAAAAAATCTTTGTACCCTCATGGGAAGCTGGGATGCTTATTTTGCAATGCAAAGTCAATTAGTTTTGCCTCGCCCAGTTTTGCTTCAGAAACCACCAGAATTAATGAGGAAATTAGTTAAGTCAGTGGCATGGAACCTATAGACAGAATTAAATGGACTACAGTTAGGGGTACAGCTCAGAACCACAGCAAGGAAGTTTTTGATTTATATGTATGTTAAACGTTGTAGAGATGGAGCTACTCTAAGACATTTAGGACAGTATTTGTCAAGTGACCATGATATCACCATATGGAAATGAGAAGGGGACTTAACATCATGGTCTTTGCTAGACTCAGTGAGGAAATGCCTGGAAACCTCTCATCCATACAGTGAAGTCAGATGATAGGTTCCAGAAATATCAAGCACCACAGCCATATTATAGATCATTGTACTAGATAATACCCAGTTTCAAATTCTGTAGTAATCCCTCATCTAGCGGATTACATTCACAATTTGAGAAAGTTACAGTTAAATATCTCCAAACAGCCAATTAACACGCAGAAACAAAAGTACAAGAGAAAAACTGTGGGACAAAGCTACAGAAAATATATATATTTTCTCCTCCCATTAAAGAGTGAAAGTCAAGGAATTTTATTATCTACTCTTGAGAGCTCTGTTGTGAAATAAATAAGTCTTCCTCTCAGAGCTAAAGAATATTTGGATACATACCTTTGTATGATAATTTTACTTAACTAGTTTCTCACCCCTGTTTTGATTACTTGATTTTTTATTGCAGAAAAAATATTTTAATGGATTAAAAGTCTGTAGGATTTTAAGTCGTTATTCATCCATGTAGAGGCCTTTTTGTTTTTCTGGAACATCATGGCACCAGAAAGTGTCTCTTCATTGCTTTTGATACAACATTCCTAATAAGTTTGTACCCATTTGTTTACAAAAAAGTGTCATCTTGTGCTATTTTTAAGGCCAAAAAGCCTGTTTTGTTCCAAGACCAATAAAATAGATAAGCTTTTTTAAAGGTGCTTTTGTAATCATGCTAATTCAGTCATCTTGATATTTACAGCAAGTCCTGTGAGAAGTAAAACTACTTAATTGAAATGTAAATGGTAAACAATTGCAAGTGATACAGTAAATGAATCCACTTATTAAAAAAAGTTCCACCAGTGTCAAGTAATAAATAAATAAAACAAAGTACTTGGGAAAAGTCCTCTGAAAGCAAGCACAGGAGTTATTTGTATCCATTTGGGCTAAATTTATTTTAAAAATGGGCCCACCTAAAAAGTTTGCTCTCGAGAAAAACCAAATGCATATGAATTGCAGATGACTATATAATGTACTTGTAATGTGTCCATTTGGAGTGACTGCAACATCAGTGAGGAGGAAACTTTAGTCAATATCCTGTACTCTGCGACAGATCTCCGCCGTGTAGTCTGAACACTTCGCATTACCTCCCAAATCTTTTGTTAGTACCTGAGTGAGAAAAAAAACATTTTTAATTATAAAAAGACAATTGTAGATTTAAAATCAATTTAGCATTCTGAACACAGATACATGCAAGGGAATGGCAATTATCTGAGTTCTCTGTAGTGTCACAATTTTATTAGAAATGAGTTTGTATAATGCAGTGTGTACAGAAGGCAAATTCAACTAGCAAGTTTTCATCAGAGGTTATCATATCTTAAGACTTTAGCATCATCGTTATTGCTAGTTAGCCATCTGTCTTGGATCTGAATCTTGGCTGGGGGTTAAAATAGAGGACTTTTCTGGTTCCTTCTAACCCTATCGTTCTATGATTAGGTGATTTTATCTTTATTCAGAATTTAGTTGGAATTACTGCCTACACACAATTTGGTTAAAACTGTTGTAAGACCTCTGGCTTTCTAGCTTGACGGTAAAATTACCCCCACTGTTATAACCACATATTTCTAGGAGTTAGCCTTCTGAAGTTTCTTTTGGTACTAAAGTTTTATATGCTTAGTTTCAGGGCAAAGATAAATAATTCTTACACAATGAAACTTCTGCAGGATTTCATTTATTTATAAAAACCACCACCCAACAACAACATAAATATAAAAGTTAAAAAAATTTAGCATGTTCATAATCCCAGAGGAGTGTAGCAAGGAAACATGGCCTCCCTCAAAGGCAGATATGGAAGGAATGTTACAAGCCGCCTTAGGGCTGGAATCAGGAAGGCTATGCTCCATACACCTAAAGCAAAGTGGAAGGACAGAAGTATAAGTGGCCAGCCCAGTTGGGAAGGAACCGAAGAGGGAGACAGACACTTCTAGGCTGCTGGAGCTACTGTCTGGTAGTGGTACCACCCGAAACAGGTCAGTGTGTTGTGGGTAGATTCCCCACTGACCCGTTTGCCACTGTTGGGGGGACTTCACCATATCCCAGCGCAGGCCCCTAACAGTAGGGTGGCAATACTCCCCCCATTTTGGGCTAGGAAGCCTATGCACCTCAGACACTCCCTACTTGAGCCCCATCAACTGTGCTTGATGCTACAGCTCTGCTCAAAGCCCGGCTGTGCCCTGTTTGATGGCCAGATCCCAAGTGTACTGCTAACTTCCCCCTTTCCTTGTTTATGAGAGTAATCTAGCAGACCAGACTGTGTGGAGGCATGGCCTCCCTCAGAGGCAGACTCAGCCAGATGGCCATGCCAGATTACAAGAAAACCTACTGAACAGGTACAACGGACAGCTGTTCAAATGTTTAGTTGCACTACCCTTGTGGTGGCAAAATGTGGGATAATAGCATTGCCTGGTCCATTTGATACTGGCCCATTCTTTGCAAGATAAAGTCTAATTATCTCAGACACATACAGTAAGATCCTAAAAAAGTGTATATAGAGACCTACAGGCATAAAAACTGACAATTTATAATTTGTGTCATTTTTGCTGCACAATTTTTAAATGAAAGCTGAGTTCTCTCCACTGTGAGCATATATATCCATCACATAGTGAGCCCCTAGCAAACGAATACTTGTTCTATGAACCACTGTGTTACTTCCACTCCAGACATCTGGTGATTTTCAGAAGCATTTCACATTTACTTATAGTTTAAATGTCTCATGTACAATATATGGCAGCCACCAGAAATAGGCCAGTTATAAAATAAACATCTTTTCATTTCATCTTGTTCAATATTTACATAAAAATCCTCATATATAGAATTACAAAGAACCCTCCCATGCTACTGGGCCAAAGAATTTCAACATTGTGGCTAAATAACGTTCCTTTTAAAAACACAACATCTAGAACCCACCCATCTGCATTTTAAAGAGATGAAACACAAGATGGCAGCGAACAGAGCTGGTAAGGCTCAACTTCTGGAAATTATTAATTCAAATTTTACTCAGGTTCCAAGTGAAAATCAATTTGGTAGTCTCCAAATCTTACACATATGTTACATAAGAGAAGCCATGCACACAACTGAGCAAAATCTAGCTTGTAGCAAATTCTGGTGTCATTTACACCCATATAACCCTACCAAGTCAATGAGACTGCAGGGAAGAAGTTTAGAAAAGACCCGAGTCTAGAATGGGAACAAAGGTGGTATAGGTCAGGAATTAATGCATAGGGGAAGTTGTGTGATGAAGCCTGTACAAGACATACAGACAACATAGGATGCAACCAGACAGAGGGGAAAAAGCCAATTCCTTCACCTTTAGACTCAACAGGGCCAACTAAAGCCCACTTCTCCCTTGTATACACAGGGGCCAGGCCCAAACACAGAAGTAGTACTTCATAAGAGGAGTCTACCCCAACATGAGAGTGGAGACATACTGCATCTTTTTAGGGAGTACAAGTGTTCTTTTCAGAGAGCTAAATTTATGAGTCGTGCCCATTCCTGCGACCTCCCCAATCTGTAGGAGGCTTTGGTGTTCTGTATTAATTATTGAAGTAACAGGAAAAGTGATGATACTTTATCTGTTAACCCTAATAATACCTTTCTAGCTTTAATAGTATCAAAACACGCTGTCTCAATTTTTGCAGCTTGTTCGTGCAGTCCCATATGCCGAAGCATCATCACAGCACTCAGAAGAAGGGCAGTTGGATTTGCTAAGTCTTTTCCTGCAATGTCTGGTGCTGTTCCATGAACCTACAGATAAAAATGAAATTAGTTGTACATGAAGTTAACAGATCAGAAGCCTTTAATGTTTGTTTTATCTAAAGTAATTCAGACAACTAAAAAATTCATCTTATTGAGTTAACACTAAGTCATTTAATTATTTTGAACAAAGAAACCTATAATCCAATCAGCGTACTAAACCATAAAATCATTAAGGCCATGAGCGGGGGTCTGAAAGACGAAAAAAAGGGGGGGTTGCAGGAATTTGTTTTGGTTTCTAACACCTACTGCAAGCAAATAAGAGTTGGACACCTAACTCTCTCGTACTTTTCAAAGTCTTCTCCTAAAAACCCAAAGGACTTTGATATCCTAAAAGTGGATATCCCTGATAAATAGAAATTATTCATGATCCTTTCCAATCAGGTGATTCCTGATATTAAGAGTCCTGCAAAACTATTATTGATATCTTGGTTTAAAACATTGTATTGCTGTATTATTTCCTTGATTAGTTATTTTGACTGGCTTCTAATGTAATCATTTTATAAGTAGCATTTCTTTTTATGCAGTCATACATTTTGCAGAGACTGTATTTCAGTAATGGCTACAGGATATCCTGTAGTTTTAGGTTTCTAGGCAAAGTTAGTTCATAAGATTTCCTCGTGCACAAGAGTTCTTACAGATTCAAAGATTGCAATTCCATTAGCGCCAATATTCCCACTTGGTGTTACTCCAAGGCCCCCGATCAAACCAGCACACAAGTCACTGGAAAAAAAAATTCTTCATGTAAGTTACAGAAGTGCAACCTCCTACCAACAAGCTATACTGAGATTTTAATTGTTTATTCCATATTAGTAAAACAGAGAAGATTTAGTCACAAACACAGTTAGGAGTGAATGTGTTTAACACTGGGGCAAAAAGGGACAAAAGAAAGATAATATGTTAGCTATATTACAGCAGCATGTTTGAAGATAAGCAGGACTACTAGATCAACAAAAACAACTTAATGAAGAAAATTACAGGAGAATGTCAAATTTCAGGATAGAGTTTACCAAAATGATATGGCGAGGTAGAAAATACTATAAGCTTGCATATAGCAGAAGAAAGTTTGAATAGTCAATCAGTACAATAAAAAAAGATAACACCTCCCCCCATGATGCCATTATAAATTCTGAAGAAAAAAAATTGGAGAAATATCAGTTAAGATTTATGTAATTATTTGGAGGTCTGTTGCCCACTCCCCCTCCCATAAGCAGTTACAGAAAAGCCTATAAAGATGCCAAAACTTTGCTCACAAAAAATCTGAATTACTAACAACTATTATGCAAAACTGAAGGAAACAAATGTTAAGTGGGGCAAGATTGCTTTGCTTCTTCATTGCCAAGCAGCCAATATGATCTATGAGAGAATTAAAGAAAACATGAGCAAGGCAATAAGAGGCCAAAAAATATAATCCCAAAAGTGGAAGACAAACAAGCATCACAAAATGTTGATATTTAGAACATTACTCAAGACCCACTGTCTATCAAAAATGAGTCACCTGGTAAATGCTAAACAGGAATAGGGGAAATTTAAAATAAAGGATTAGGTTTGCTTATACATTATCCCTCCCCCCCTTCTCCAGTCATTGGGCATCATTTTAAGTACTATATATTTCAAGGCAGGGGCTGTCATCCACTATCTGATCAGAGGGTAAAATCTTTTGGGCATCATGTCATAAGGCACTTTAAAAAAAAACCCATAGAAGCAGGGAGACAGTTTATAGGGAAGCGAATGTTCCTTTACAAAGAAACCCTGCTTTATCAAAACTGAGCATCAATGTAAGGTGCTATAAGAAACTTTCATTAGAACTCAAATTGATGGGGAAATCTATACTAGGAATGTTGAGAACAGTTAAATCACAGGAAAGTAAGCGAGCTACCAAGCAGAACTTTTAACAGCAATGACAAAGCAAACACTACCAGCTATTAAAGCACGTAGCATTATTTTGAGCTCTATTTGTTCAACCTGAAGGTTATTAGGGAACAAAGGAAAAATAATACCTAAAAGAGAGCTGCTTGTCGAGCTAAGTGGACTTTTTCCTTCTGTCCGTACAGAATGTGAAAGATGGATTCTACAATGAATTAGTTCAGTTGTATTTATACCAGCTTTACTCAACTTTAACAGCCAAAAGCCATTTCTTCATTGCAGGGGGATATCAAGAGCCACAAAAATAATTAAACCTATTTAAAATGCAAAAATGCCTGTAACAAACATGTTGTTTGTTCATCAAGACAGCTAAATTACAGTCAGAGCAGTACTAGGACCCATAGAGACACCTTAGTTAAAACTGGATACCAATTCTGAGAAGTCTGGCTACTGCCAACAGGGTGGCTATTTCTGTTCTGAGCCATCATAACCCATAACCACATTGGTATACAAACTTCTGACTTCCATTGATTTTAAAGGAAGTTAGGAGCCTAAACACCTGTATGAATCTGGGCCCCGTGATATTCCTTTCTAAACCCTTAGACAAGAACACATACAAGATATGAAGCCACATGCAAATCAAATAGCACCACATGCAGCACAATAGCATGTCTGAGAAATCACTGCACTCCTAGGAGTTTATTTAAATATAGCTTACAAACAAATGTTTTAAAATATTTTTATTCATCATATCTAATGATTGGTAAGAAGTTTTAATCCTCTATTTAGTGCTTTGCACTTTATTATGTGTCAGCTTTAGTCTAGAAAATCTGCACATGAGCACATATTCCACCCAAACCTGGAAGTAAGCTATGCTGTAGTAGACTTTTTGGGGGGAGGGTGGGGTCGAGGGGAAGTGGGAGATGCACCGGGAGTTGGTGGTTTGTTGCTGTTACTGGAGGGGTTTCTTCCCTTTCCACCATGTTAATGATTTGGGGTGACTGCAGTTATGTTTCTATTAGAATCACATAGATTAAAAATACATTCTAACATGCAGAACTGCAGAGAGGTACTTTTTAAACATTTGGCCTGAATCAAGATAAAAAACATTTTTAAGACTTCTTGCATGATACAAGAGAAGCAAGGACCAAATTCTTACACGAGTTATATGCATATACATTTAAGATATTAGATTAAAGGCACACATCTTTTGCTAGATGATATGAACAGCATCAAATTCAGTTAAGTAAGTCTTTTATGGCAAATGGATCTAGCAGCTGAATTCACAAGTGAAATTGTTTTGATGGTAGTGTGCTACACTGTTAGTGTTTCTCCAAAAGAAAGTTGTCTGAGAAAAACAGTACCAGAAGATACCTTAGTAAATATTTAAACAGATGTTCATTTCACACACACTATTCTTTCATTTTATATTTGAATCACATTTATATAGTATGACAAACACCATCCATGCCTTCTGATGCCACAAAGCATAGACTCACCATACAGCTCCCCTGATTCTAAATTATTCTGTCTTGTGTTCTCAGTTGCAGCTTTTCTTTGAAGGCTACTGAAAATCTGATACGGTTATGTTTTAAACCTTTGCTGAAACATTTAATTAAACATTGCTGCCTAATGTTTAAGATGAATTGTAATCTTGAAAGCGATGGCATTTTAAGGGTTAAATCATAGCCAGCTCACTTCTGCTTACCTTAGTATGTCACCATACAGGTTTGGCATAACAAGCACATCAAATTGTGATGGATCCTGTACCATCTAGGAAGAAAATGATTTCGTTTTATGATCATGTATTTTAACTATAAAAAACTGAATATAATGGATTAGGTACTCACATTCAGACACACAGTATCTAGGTACATTTCATTAAATTTAATATCTTTATAGTTTTCTGCAGCTTCTCTGCATTTTCTCAAAAAAAGGCCATCAGACATTCGCCTGTATTTAGACAAAGAGAAGTATGTTAGAGAGCATGGATGAGTAAACGAGTTTTAAAAAGCAACTGCATCAAGGTAAATATGGAAAGCACCTCTGGAAACAAAAAATAACAGAAAAATAAAGGCCACATCCTCACCGCAGATTTCACTACCTTTTTCATGATATCAGCCAAGAGCTGGTTCAATTGCTGGAGCAAGCTAGGGCAGTTTCTAATTTGGGCTCGCTTGTAATGTGTCCTCTTAAGAGTAGGAAATTGCCAGAGAGAAGTTGCATCCACCCCTATGTAAACGGGCAGGTGCATGTATAAGAAGTGTGGTGCAGAGTTGGCTCCAACAGCCTTACACTACTTGGGGATTCTGCCTGGTTAAGCAGCGGCAAGGCTCTTTTATATTATAACTCAACCAGACTCTGAGATCTGGCCAAAAAAGTCTAATTTAGAAACCGATCAAAGAATTACTTCATGTGTTAAATCACAAGAGTTAATTGCATTTAAAACATTCCTATAACTTACTATAAGTTCAGAGCAAAGTCTTTGTCCTCATCGCTAACTGTTGGGAAACATAGTTTTGTTTTGAAATATACACATCTGACTTGTCAAAAATGTTCACTGTATGGAATGAGAGCTAGGATGTCAAAACCCACAAAACTGATCTGAACTGACACCTTAATGAGTTTAATTGCACTTGTCAGGTGCATCAGAGTCAGGAGTGAGACTGATAAAGTAAACCAGAAATTAGGTCTCGAAGTACCTCCGCACAAGAAGCACATTTTTCACTATGCAAATATTTTTTGGTCAGAACCTCTCCTATGCACTACAAAAGCAAAGACAAGTGTCACTTTTGTAATTAAAGTCTACCGAGTCTACAAATCAGGCAAAGAAGTGTTATGCAATTCCATAGGTTCTGTGGCTCAGTTCTGAGGCTTATTGTGAAGTGCTTTAAAATTCTTAGATGAAAGTCACGGTGGGTATGTCAATATTACAGCCACACACCAACAGCACTGTTATTGTGCTACTGCAGTGTAGTCACTTCCTACACCAACAGGAGGGGTTTTCCATTGCTGTAGCTAATCCACCTCTCCAAGAGGCTGTAGCTAGGATAATGGAGCTTTCCTGTGAACTCAGCCATGGAGGATTCAAGTTGGCTTAACTACAAAGCCATGAGCAACATAGTTAGGTTGATATAATTTTTAAGTGTAGACCAGGCCTGTAAGTGGAAGTTTCACTTTTAGTGTTTTTATTCTTGAGTTTACCTTAAAATAGGAAACAGCACAGAGAAAGAGGACAATGATACTAATTTGTCAGTTATTTGACTACTGCAGTCTCATCAACACTGGGTCAATTCTCCCCAGGTTGTTTTCCCCATTAGCATTAATGCGAGTTACACATCTAAGCAAGATTTCCTAAATTACTTTGCATCTTAATAGCTCAAAATCCATAGGTTTTCAATCCTGTCTTTAGAAGTCTGTTACTTTATTACATCAACATACATAATGTTTGCTTTGTGCACTGCAGTAACATGGCTTCTATGATTGTTTCTGGCATACTCGAAAGCAAACTCAGCAATACGTCTGCTTGCTTCTTCTGTGATAAGTTTGATACTCTGCACAACACCATCAACAATCTGAAAAACAGATAGTCACAAGTAAAATTAAGCTGATTTATAAAGCAGGGGTTGATAGTGTAGAGATTTGGAACATAATTCTGATGGGCAAGTATATGCAGAGCACTGTACACAAGCCATTTTACATTAAAAATAAATTCTGAATCAGAAGAGTTAATTAAAAATACCTCCTAGTTTTGCCACACAAGGTTGCAATTGACAGAGGAAAGAAAACTCTGCCAGAAAATTAACTGTTTCCTAATAACATACCACATGCTCAATTCCACTGTATTCTCCCTCCGTGTTTTCTCGAATTGTGACAATATTTACATCAGTGTAAGGGGTTTTGTATCCTTCAATTGAGACACAGGGACGAACATTTGCATAGAGATCAAAGGTTTTACGCAACAGCAGATTCATCGAAGGGTGACCAGCAGCTATTGGAGTTTTTAAAGGTCCTGTAATACACAACAGGAATTAGTGAGATAAAAAAGCACCAAGAGTTTAAATTGAATACTAATATTCAAATAAATCTAAGGGACTGTTGCATGGGTTTCCCTGATAAGCTCTTGTGTTGTCTGGGGCTGAAAGGTTGAGAAACTCTTTCTAGATCAAAAAGTGAAATTATTCTGTTGTTTAAGAGGCAAATTGTGATCCCTCTATTCAAAGGTGAATAGCAACGCACTTTCGATCTGCCTAATTTACATCTCTCTTTCAAAAGAGGGTGTAATCTTAGAGGAGCCCTCACTGACAGAGGTTTGTCCACTAAAAAACGTTACTCCTCAATCTTTAGTGTCAGACTTCTCATGAATTCACTAGGAGGCATATAAGAGATTGGGAATATTTAAGGTTAATTGAATTCAGAAGTGGTGGATAAAACACTGGAGCCTGAATGTGAAACGGCACAAACCACTTCCCCTCCTGCTGGAATACTTCATCTCCAGAATATGATTCCTGTTGTTCTCATTGAGTAATACCTTACTCTTCCAAGTAGTCATATTAAATTCAATGAGAATAATGGTGGGCTACGTCAACACTGGCATGATTTTCCGAAAATGCTTTTAACAGAAAAGTTTTCTGTTAAAAGCATTTTCGGAAAATCATGCCAGTGTTGACGTAGCCCACCATTATTCTCATTGAATTTAATATGACTACTTGGAAGAGTAAGGTATTACTCAATGAGAACAACAGGAATCATATTCTGGAGATGAAGTATTCCAGCAGGAGGGGAAGTGGTTTGTGCCGTTTCACATTCAGGCTCCAGTGTTTTATCCACCACTTCTGAATTCAATTAACCTTAAATATTCCCAATCTCTTATATGCCTCCTAGTGAATTCATGAGAAGTCTGACACTAAAGATTGAGGAGTAACGTTTTTTAGTGGACAAACCTCTGTCAGTGAGGGCTCCTCTAAGATTACACCCTCTTTTGAAAGAGATGTAAATTAGGCAGATCGAAAGTGCAAATGAAGCATGTATTTAAATATCCCACATTTCATTTGCATATTCATGTCTGATCACCGTTTCGAAAAAGGGTATTTCAAAAGTGAAACTGCAGTCTAGATGCAGTTCTTTCAGAAAAAAAAAAACCCCTTTTTTGAAAGATCCCGTACTCCTAATTTTTTCAGGAGGACAGGACCTTTTGAAAAGGGGGTTTTTCCCCCCCAAAAGAACCGCGTCTAAATTGCAGTTTCACTTTCAAAATACCTTTTTTCGAAACAGTGATCGGATGCAAATAAAGCTTGGGATATTTAAATCTGTGCTTCATTTGCACTTTCGATCTGCCTAATTTACAACCCTCTTTTGAAAGAGGGATGTAGTCTATACGAGCACTGAGAGCCAAGCTTTCAAGCCACCCCAGAGGTGTGACTGGTCACATGTTATGGCATACACCTTCATCTGGACCTGTGAGGGGGGTATATCCCACTGAGAATAAAAGCATTAACTGAAGACAGCTTGCTTAATGCACCTGTGGGTAGATCAGGTTACACTAAAGATGAGTCACAGCTGGGAAGGAGCTGGATAGTTACTATAAAGAGGAAGCCCAGAACAGAAAAGGACTGTAGGAAGAAAAAGGAAGTACTTAGAAATTCCACATGGAGCAATAGAGATCTGCTGGGTCACGGGAGAACTTCAGGACAATAGAAAGAAGAGGGAACCTGGGGAAGAGAAGGTTTTTGGATCCTTTCCTAGTTCTGGCAAAGGTCCAGGAGATAAATCACAGAGCCACCAGAGAGGAGCAACTGTGATAAAATGGCACAATCTAGATTTCCCAGAACAGAGCCCAGGAAGGCATTTAACTGAGGGAATTGAGTACAGGCAAAACAGAATAAAAAGGTCAAGCTAGAGGAGGGAAATGGTTGGCTTACATTTATTTTTTCAGTTCAGATTTGTTGGGGGTCTCCAAGCAAGAGACCCCACAAGCCATGGCTCTCAAAAAAGGATGCACCTTGTGAAGCCATGGAGTTTATGGAGATGAAAAATTTGTGGCACCTGAGACAAATACAATTACCCAATGGGCTCAAGAAGGGAATGCTGACAGACTGATGTAGAAAGAAACCCAGGGAGGTGGCAGGTCAGATGTAACAGACCTTATGTGCTCACTAAATAGTCCCTGGGCTGGACCCCAAAGTTGCAGAAGGACCTGGGTTCTCCTTCCAGCTGCCATGAAAGGCAGCGTAAAGCTCCCTTATAAGGGAATATGGACTTTAAAAGGCCTGAGATGAGTGTAAGGTGGGCATATGAACCTCAGGGCCCAGAGCTGGGAGAAGAAAGATCTGATGTAAGGACACTGGACTTTTGTTTTTTGGATAGTTCACTCTGGAAGAGGGACTATAAGTGACCGGTTTAGAGATCTAAGTCATGAGAGGCAGAAGACCACTGCAAAGTTAGAGCAGCTGTTGGCAGTGGGGCAGTAGAGGAAGAAAGCCTGGTACACTATGCCCAGTAACAAAGGGTAAAGGTCACTGGTCAATCAGCCCTTCAACACACTCCAATTACTATTTTCATTCATTGAAATGCAATGCCTTTTATGAAATGCTGTAAGTGAATGTGTTGATTCGCAGGGAAACTTAAGAGGGTACTTACCTACATGTCGACTGATTATGGCTAGAGATTTTCACTCATTCCAACTTTTAGTGCTGCTTTCTCGTGCAAAGGTAGGGCTTTGAAGTTTCAATTGACTACCGTAGTGCAGTCTGTACCGTAGAATTCACCGTTCTATTATGGTGTAGAGTACTTTCATTGCCACATATATATCCAAGAACAACCCCACACAGTACAAACAATAGTTGCTTTCAATAGCTCAACATTCATCTGTACAATACCTTTCAGTCCCATCTTGTTTTTATCCATGGATTCTTTGGCATCTGGCGGAATCATCCACTTTCCTCCTGGTCCCTGGATAGCTGTAACATTTTTCTCTTCCCACTGAATAGGGGCCTAAACACATTTCTACATTATCGCCTGTATTAGGAATTTTCACTAGACTTATATCACTGGAACTATAAATATTTCCATTATACTATCTACACTTTCACTCTATTATGTCAGATATTTTCAAGACATATAAAGATGAGTTGTAAATGACTTTTAAAATTAAACTTAGCAATTAAACAAGATCATCAAAAGTTCCCAACAGACAGGAACAGATACCTAAACAGAATGCTGTGAAAATTTCAATCACTTCAGTAAGCCATTATATTATTGGTAAAGTTGTAATGTGTATGACTGACAAAACAAATTAATTGCTTACTTTAGCAGCATCAAAAATCTTCATAACAGCAGCAGAAATCTCCGGTCCTATGCCATCTCCTGGGATTAAAGTTACTGTCTGTGCCTATGCAAGAAGTCAAATAGCACACCTAAGGAACATTGCATTCATCAAAGCATTTTCAAGTATTTTGATGAAAATCAAGCTAGTTGCTAAAACAGAGGGCAATCAATTACTAAAGTCACTTCAAAGATAGCACTGCACTAAAGAGGAGTGCAAACAGGAAGTCTGTTTCACAGCCAGCTTACATAATGTTCCAAAGAATCCATCTGATGCCTTAGTCCTTCTGAAACATAAAGGTAGTTAACCTAATTTAAAAGAAGCCTTCCTAATCACACTCCTTCCCAGTAGAATACACGTATTTATTTTTTCCTGGCACTTGGCAGAAGAGATAGCATTATCTACTTATGTCATGTAGAGTAGGATCTATCCCACACTAAAGCAGGTTCTAGTCATGCTAACCTATTCCTAGAGAAAATTGTTTGAAAAGTTATTTTCTTAACTGTATTTAAAACAAAGTCCAACATTAATTTTAAAAAAGCTTCACTTAAACTTTAAAAAAAAGAAACACTTTCCTAAGTGATCTCCTTTCTAGAACCAGCACTTTTGTTCCTCGTCTTCAGGAATAACATCAGAAACAGACTGCACAGCTTGGACTAATCTTGTATATAGGGAAGCAAATGATATATCTTGATTTAAACATGTAAGTACTGCTACTTCAAATTTACTATTACTATTCATTTTGAATCTCTGAAATAAGTGTTTAGTTTTCAGACCAACTGTAACAGCAGAATTCTAATATCAATAAAAATAGTCCTAGATACAATGTTATTTTAAAAAGCTCTGATTAGAATCAACTGTGAAAACACCAAAGTTGTTTCACAATTAGCTACACAAGATACAAAATATACATTGAAATGGTATATATCTGAATTTCTTTTGAATAAAACCATCACTGAAGTTAACTATCAAGTCTAGAGAAAGTGGAGCTTCAGAAAAAAAAAAGCTAATAAGGATGTGAGGACTACTATTTAGATTAGGGCTGTCAATTAATGCATGTTAATACCTGTGATTAACGCAGGACAGAATTAACACGCTAAAAAAAGTAATGCGCGTTAATCGCAGGCATTTCCATGTGATGCTGCCCCTTTGAAATGCCTCTGTGATGTTTCAAAGGGGCAGCGCAACACGGAGCCTGGGGACAGCTGAGTTTGTCTAGATTACATGGTTCCATCGATGGAGTCATGTAGATGAGTTTACTAGACATAGGAAAATGAAGTGGCAATTTAAATAATCGCTGCTTCATTTACATAAAGATGGCTGCCTCGCTGTGCTGATCAGCTGTTTGGCAGCACAGCGGGGCAGTCTGGATGCGCCACGGTCGACAAGGGAAGCCTTTGTCAACCGCTCCGGTATGCTTCGTGAAATGATCAGCACAGTGCAGCGGCCATTTTGATGTAAATGAAGTGGCGATTACTTAAATTGCCGCTTCATTTTCCTATGTCTAGTAAACTCATCTACATGGCTCCGCCGACGGAGCCATGTAGTCTAGACATACCTCTGGAGTCCCCAGCTGACCCCGGGCTCCATGCAGCGCTGCTGCCCCTTTAAAATGCTGACAGCGTTTCAAAGGGGCAGCACTAAACGGAGCCTGGGCTCAGCTGTGCGGCACTGTCTCTTTGAAACGCTGCTGCAGCATTTCAAAGGAGCAGCACAACGTGGAGCCTAAGGTCAGCTAGAATCTTATTATTTAACAGCACGATTAATCGCGCGATTAATTTTTTTAATCACTTGACAGCCCTAATTTAGACATTTCAGAGGAGTAGCTGTGTTAGTCTGTAGTTTTAAAATCAATGAATAGTCCTGTGGTGGATGGTATCATGAGCTTTTGTGGGCACAGCCCACTTCTTCAGATAACACCAGTGTTGGATGTCCAGGACCAAAAAAAACAGGGGAGAGGGGGGTGGAAGACAAAAAAATGGGAGGGGGGACAAAAAGAGGCAGTGGATATAAAATATCAAGGGGAAAGAGGAGCTGGAATGTAATATGTACTTATAGACTGTTTGTTTTTCCTAAGACTGGATAGTCAAAAGAGGCAGATAAAGATCATTAATTAGCAAACAACAAATAGTCTGGTAGCACTTAAAAACTAACAAAACATGTTGTTGTGAAAATGCAGATGTTAAAAGGCAGGGGAAATTTGGCTTTGTAATGCACCAACCAATCAATGTCTTTCTTCAAGCCCAGGGTAACACAGTGTCAAACTTGTAGATGAATTCTAGTTCTGCAGTTACTCTCTAATTGGGTGATGAAATTCCTTTGTAGAAGAATGGATACTTTTAAATCCAGAGATTGAATTACCAAGCAGGTTACAATGTTCTTCTACCGGTTTATGTATTGTCATTTCTGATGTGTGTCCATTTATCCTTTGCCACAGAGACTGTCCGGTTTGGCTAACATACATGGCAGAAGGGCACTGCCATTTAGAAGGTTCATCAGTAATGTTAAATACACAACTATTTAAATGCCTTCAAGAATGGCTATAGCCTCAGAATACTTAGGTTGATTGCTCAACTGTTATATTTGTGTTTTCTCCCTCACTAATATAATGGGTTGCAAAGCCTTAGGTGGCTTCAGTACAGTCAACAGGAGGATGTAATATATTGCATTAAGTAAAAAATACCAACTCCAGTGTGCCTGGAGCCTGAGATGCATCAACTATTCTTAATTTTTTTATTAACAACTTTTTAGCTTTTTTCCACCAATATAATTGATAGTACAGAGATAATAGCATTAAAAGACAGACTCCTAAAATTCACATCTCCTGTAAAAGAATAGGCATTGCATTGATGCATACATAAGTCAGAGCCATTTTCAAATTCTTTTTTAAATGGAAGACAGGGTAAACCCATATACGATCAAATCACTTGCAAAAACAAGTTCAAAAGAAAAAACAACACAATCATATTGTAAATTAAAACGTAGCATTACAGAAGGACTTCAAAAGGGCAGATGTCTAGATATTCTAAAAGCAGCAGTTTTTAAATGTCATCATTAATACCAGTTTTAAAGTCTTTATGGAATTCTTTAAAGACTTTCAAGATTTAGATTTGAATTAAACTACATTTGCTCAACAGCAAGTAAGTCTACTGCTAATAGAAAAGTTTGCAAAATAAGATGATTAGAAGCTTCTCAACAACGTTGCTATTGAAGTTTCTCTAAGAATTCCAGAAGGGTTGATTTCTAAAACTATCACCAGCCTATTAATGGGATCAAATAATAATTTTCCATTCAATTACTATCATTTTTCATAAGGGGTTATTCAAATTATTAGTGTAAGAGTATAAGGTGAAATTGTCAAAAGGTATTGGCGTTGAAGTTAGTCACAGAAATCCAACATGGCAGAAGAGCATATGGACATTATACATAGGCTGTGTCGACACTGGCGCGATCTTGCGCAAAAGCGGCCACTCTTGCACAAAAACTTGCTGCCTGTCTACACTGGCCACGTGTTCTTGCGCAAGTAAACTGACATTCTAATGTATGAAATCAGGGCTTCTTGCTCCAGAACTCTGATGCTCCCGCTCAGGAATAAGCCCTTTTGCACAACTGCTCTTGTGCAAGAGGCCAGTATAGACAGGCAACATGAATTTCTTGCGCAAGAAAGCCCTACGGTTAAAATGGCCATCAGAGCTTTCTTGCGCAAGAGAGCGTCTACACTGGCAAGGATGCTCTTGCGCAAAAGCACATAACAGTGTAGGCGCTCCCTTCTGGAAGAGATTTTGCAGAAGAACTCTTGCGCTAAAGAGTTTCTGCGCAAGATCACACCAGTGTAGACGTAGCTTTAGAGTTTATCTTTAAGAAAGCATGTGGAAACGTAATATAGCAACCTTATCTTGTTCAGTAAGTTGCTCAGTACTTTTATTGAGAAACTTCTCAAAAAGAAAAAAAAATGCTATTATACTCACAGCACTACTAAAACATCTTGTCACCTGTTTTTGGTTTTTGAAAACTCCTAGCAAACGAGACATCTGTAAAAACAAAGATATTTGGGTGTGTGAACAGAAAGCAAGATAATATTAATTTCTAATACTGATGCAGGTTTGTATTTTAAAGTACACTTATTTCACATTTTATAATAGAAATATCTTTGCTAACATTAGTTATCATACAGTTAGTATGCAAATGTTTTGTTCAGATGACCAAAACTTTCACTTATTTTATCTTGCATTTTCAAGATTTTTCAATGTATACTCTATTACCAACACATATTTCTTCCATTCTTTGTGAATGGCGACAATGAGTTTGTAACATATTGACAGAAAGTTAGGAAAAGAGTGTACAATTCCACCACAAATACTAAGTGGATTTAGAAGTCTAAAATTAGGCTGCGTCTAGACTGGCATGATTTTGCACAAAAGATTTGCTTTTGCGCAAAAGCATCCGTGCCAGTGTAGACGCTCTCTTGAGTAAGAAAGCTCCGATGGCCATTTTAGCCATCGGGCTTTCTTGCGCAAGAAATTAATGTTGCTGTCTACACTGGCCCTCTTATGCAAGAACCACTGATTTTGTACATTACAAAGTAAGTGTTCTTGCGCAAATACTCATGGCCAGAAATACGCCCGGCCAGTGTAGACAGGCAGCAAGATATTGCGCAAAAGCAACTGCTTTTGCGCAAAATCATGCCAATCTAGACGCAGCCTTAGAGTCTCCATTAAATATTTGTCTGTGTCTCCAACATGTGAGAAAGACATGTTTTATTATAGGAACAAAGAATTGTAGAGGCACAGTTTATGAAAACCATGCACATGAAGGGTGCATGGTTTTCACACTCAGATATTTCACATTGGACACAAAAATGCAATAATTTTAGCCATATGCAAATTGGTTGACTAACTGTTTTTAATTTGTATGGGTCTGTAGCCCCTAATAGCTTTAGTTAACTACCAAGACCCTATTGTGCTAGGCGCTGCTTGAACAGAACAAAAAGATGATCTCTGCCCTAAAGAATAACTACCAAGACCCTATTGTGCTAGGCACTGCTTGAATAGAACAAAAAGATGATCCCTGCCCTAAAGAGATAACAGATGGATACAGACAGGAGAGTAGAAGGAAACACCACCACAATAAACAGAAGCTATCCCTGGAGACAACTCCTCTGCACTCGCCACAGGCTACAGCTGCTTTGCCTGGTTCCCTCTGCACCAAACTGTTAGTTAACATAACCGGTAAGCATCACCCAGAAAGGTGATAAAAGCTTATGCCTTAATACGTTTGTGTGGGCTGGAGCCCACTTCGTCAGATGCATCTTTAACAGGGCCTCTCTAGACAGCCCAGGTCCTGTCCCAACCCTACTTCCTTCCACCCCTGCCCTGTCCCCATTGCACCTCTTCCCCAAGGTTCCCCCTCCCACAAAAGATGCAACCCAGGGAGTTACTGGGATGCCTGGCATGGGGGAAGCAGCAGGGGTCAGGCTCTCAATCACCACCTCAGAGAGAGCCACAGGAAGCAAAGTGACTTGTCAGCTCGCTCCACTCGACTTCAATGGCATGTCACTTGGGGGAATGAAAGAGTGGGCTGGAGCTAGGGTACTCTGCTTCGAGTCTGGGACAGCCCGACCCCTGCTGCCACCCCAAGCCAATCCCCCAGGTAATCTCCCAGGCTGCCCTGGGCTCCTCAACTAGCAGCTGCCATGAACCGTCCTATGCATGGGACAGTTCTGGTCTTTAGAGTGCCATAAGAGCCCTCATTGGTTTTGCCTTAGATATGTAAAAACAAGTGTGTCTTCACAGCATAGTTCTTGTTTGTCATACCTAATACAGTAAACTTCCAATAATCCGGCACCTTTAGGACCCACGGGGTGCCGGATTATCAGATATGCCGGACTATCAGAAAGGGGTGCTATGTGGGGTCTGGCCCCAGACCCCTTATAGTCCCCCCTTCCGATAGTCCGGCTCTGCCCCAGGCATCCCTGATTCAGCCGCTGCTGAAACTGGTCAGG